TATAATAAATAAATTACTTAGATTTTAAAATCCTCTTGCAGTGTTTGAAATTAAAACATTGCATCACATTTCCAGTGCTTACCGGCAAGAACAAATTCATTATAAACTAACATAAAACTACATTTTCCTCTACCACTGGTGAACAAGCAGCGATGTGCAAGGTCATAAATAAGAAATGTAAATGAATTTGTATGTTAATAAATGTAATTATGAATCTATCTGAATTTTAATCATCTAATGAATGTAACTCCTGAATTACAGAGGGAAAGAAACTAATTGGATTCTCTGTATCTTTTCTGTTGTGGCTACAAGTAGTGTATTGTACATTTCCTAGCACTACAAAAGAACAATGCTATGCACGAGGAAGGATTTCCATCCAGAGGCCAGCAAGTAGCTTGAACTTTACAATGTGCAATGTTTACTTCTTTTAATGTTTTTAAGTAGAAACACCATGTTTTAAGAGACACCCCCCAATCATTTGAAACAAGTAAAACTGAGGATCAGTGAGATATGTTATAAAGAAAAAGATAATAATCAAAATAGTAGCTAAAAGAAATAGTTTAGAGCTACTCACATACTTCAATCTCTTTAAAATTTCAAACAGCACATCTTCACAAGAGCTAAGAAGTGATCTTACACTATTTAATACAGTCTAGAGATGCAATGGATATATGTCCATATATCCCTTTATATACAATAAACCTGTCTCTGAGTTCTCCACATTTTTAATCAGACCAGCAAAAAAAGCACTGCATGGGATAATGCAAAATTTAAAATAAATTTAAATTTTCTTTACATGTTTTCTGCTAAATATACAGAATGTATATATATTACACACACAAGCTTTATTCCTTTTTTGGCATGAATGTTTACAGCAACATTTCTTGAAAGCAGAACAGAAAGCTCATAGCATATTACAGATACAATATATATAAATAAGGTCCTGTCAATTAAAATCCTAAAATTCATATAAATCCTATATTATATTTGATTATCTTGTTTTCTGTTATGAGAAGAATCTAATGTCATTCCTATGAGATAATGACATCTAATAAAGCAGATGAAATTTGCACAGCAGTTTACAAGAAAGAGAACTATTTTTTAATCTCCATCTGACATAAACAAAGCTGATAATAGCAAACCTTCTGGTGAATAAATTATTAGCAATTACACCTAATTGTGGTACCATACTGTCAGAACATTTCAGCAGCAGAAAAATGCAATTTGAGTGAGGTTTGTCTCTAGCAGTAGAATAACAGGCTGAGGTCACTTTAAATAAATGTTTGAAATGCAGTGTGTTATTAGTATTTCAACCACTGCCAATTGCATTTACTTACTATAAGCAGTGTTTCATAAGATGTAGAAGAAACATGTTTTGCTATCTGCTGCAAGATACCATACCACAAAATGAGTGGATTCAGATTAACACTCATCTTATTGTAAGTACATTCTGAAGCCTAGACTTAAATCTTTATAAATTATTCATATCTCCTCACAACTGTACCTGTTTCTTTTAAAAAAATAATCTTGTATGGATTTTCCCTTTCTTCTCAGAGATGGCTGCTCCTCTGATTATCTTAGTCAGGACTCACCCATTCCAAGTACTAATTTTTCTACCACTTTTCCTTTCTTAATTTTCCAAAAGGAATTCTAGTGAGGTCAGGACTCACCTATTCCAAGTACTAATTCTTTCTACTACTTTTCCTTTCTTAATTTTCCAAAAGGAATCCTAGTGACCATAGTTCTCTGATGTTGAAAGAAGTGTCTAATTTTACAGCTTTCTCCAAATTTTGTGAATTCCCTTTTTCCACAGAAGGGTGGTGCAACAGGCCACCCTGTTTCACCTAGCAAATCACAAGCAAACACTGGAATAACTTACATGCAATCTAATGTGCTGGTAATGAACAGAAACCTACCTGATAAGGTATGTCATGGCAATTTTTTGCACACTGAAGTTGGATGATGACCACCAGTGGCCTTGTGAGGGAGTATATGGTCGGAGAAGTCATGATGGGATATTGACTTGTGTGTTTTATCCAACATTTTGAAAGCAAACTGTCTTCTGATGTCTTAACTTTAAAGTGGCTCCAGTAAGAAAATGTCATCTTATTTTTATAAATACACTTTTCCTTGTCATCATTTGAAGAACTATTACAGCATTTCTCTTATTGTGTCCTTGTTTATAATAATGATTACCTCAAATATTGACAGCCATAGATACATTATAATATTAAAGTCTGTATAAACAAATAACTATCTTTCTGACAGATGTTAAATGTTTTAAAATAGAAACTCTAAAAGTTTTATAAGCAGTAGATTCATAATTTATCAGCTTGGAAAAAAGCCAGAACAAGCCCACCAAATAAAAAACCATCAAACCTCCAAACTTGGATTTATCTTACAAGGAAAAAAAAAAGTTGTATGTAGCATAATTAGCAGGTATGGCTTATCTCCTTAATTATCTCCCAATTCCTTGAAATGTAGACTTATGTATGATGTGAATATATGAATACAAGAGTTTATACCCCCCACTTCATACATCACAGAAAAGGTTTCCTGCATTGCCCTCTTGAGGCCCATAAGAATTGAAGGTCTGCATTAAGGCAATAATCATAATCAAACCACATCCTTCACCCAGTAATTCACAGGGCTCAGGAAGGAGTTAGTCTCCCTGATGCACAATTAGTTTCTCTGATACACATTTCGTTTTTATCTGTTGGATTTAGGTTGGGTATATCTCACCTCCCTCTGAAGCATCAGCTCAGCCCTATTGTCTGGACATACATCCAAACTCTATGCAGACCAATAAAATCAGAAGTTAAATCAGACAGAACCAAGACTTTTTAAATTAAAATCAATGTAATTCAGCAGTGCATAAGTCATATCCTTCCATTGTCAGCTATGCAATTTCTAAAGCTCATCTGGTAATTCTTGTTCCAAAGCAGAAGGACATAATTTTATATTCATTTAACAGTTTCTCAAATAATTGCCCACATTTTCCCACAAGCTTAGTATAGTACAAATGGCTTTTCTGATATTTTGATTAATTTTTCCCTAGTAGTAACAACTAAATAATTTGACTAGAAAAGTACATTATTATCTTAGAGAATTCTGTTATGGTTAATTTATTTCTAGTCTTTATGACCATTTTCATGGCTCTGCACCATGTCCCTCACCCTCCACAATCCTGAGTTGCTTCCTTTCCTACTTCCTCCCTGCTCTGCATTTTTTTGGTTTTACAGCACTTTTTTTCAAGCCCACAGCCTAGGTCTCTCATGGAGTCCACCTAATGGCAAACTGCAGCTTCAGACCTCTGAGTGAAATAAAATATGAGCACATCTGATGTGGCTTTTTTCCCCTCCTGATCAGCATGACAACATAGTCAATGGCAACACAATTGTGTTAGAGTCTTGGCTGTTGCTAAGGAGAAGGGAGCTTGGAAAAATGTGTGAGCAATGTCACTTTAAAATCTGCATGTACACAAGGTCTTTCATACATCTCCTTACCTCTATACTGGGAAAAGGAATATGGCATTATAGTAATGATGTTAATATATCTCATATGGCATTATTTCTCTAGTCCTTGGATAACCAAGGAGGACTACCCATAGGGTCAATATTTATACAGAAGACAACTATTTTCTTTACTCCATCAATGTTGTTTAGATCTATGTAAGATTTGGGGGCACAAGAATTTTGCATCTCTTTGGTGCTGACAGCACTTAGAAAACTCTTTACTTGGTCTACTTCTCATCCTTTTCCGTTTATGTCCTTGGTGCAGGTTGTACAAAGCAAAGGATTTTACTTCTCCCCCTTCTCTTCCCCTGCAAGTTCTCTATGCTGTTCTCTTGACTTTGCTCTGAGAATCTCTTATCTCCCTCTCTGCCTGGCAGACAAGGCAACCTTTGGGACCCTGTGCTATTAGTGTCATCACAGGGCAGAGGTTCCTTTCATGGAAGAGTTGTTTCCTGCCTGGCTGTGAGCTGTATGCTAATGTGACAGCCTGGCAAGTATTTGAGAATGTCACTTCTAGCAAAATAACTGTCCTGAATGGTATTTGACATGTATAAAATCACATATATATTAAAAAAAAAAAACCCAACAAAATTCAACTCTAATATGTATTTCAAATGAGATGCCCACAGGCACTTACAACATGAGTACATGTCAGTAGCCATATGTGCTGTAATCCTCCTCTTTATACATAGACCCAGCATAATCCTTTCATGCACCATGTATCTAATCTGTATTCTCTGCTTTGGAAGCAAGATTAATCTCAAACTTTCAGAATTAATTCAAAGGCATTAACTAGCTTTCAAATCTTCAGTATTTTGGCAACAAAGTAGTTAAACAATGTGGCAAATTACCAAATAATTTCTGGTACCACTTCATTTCAGGTTCTTTAAAGCCCTGCAGCTGAACCACAGCTGGGTACTTAATACAAGGTTTTATCTTTTGGGGGAATGTTACTTCTAAATGCTTAATAATTATGAATTCATTTCCCATTTTTTTTATAAGCAGGGGATCATAATGAACTCATTTGTTATTCATGTGAATGTCAAATGTGTTCCCACGGGAGTTTTATTCTAATTCACTATTAGTTAGTGGACTCATAAAATAAAATGTTATCCATTTTTTTACTTTGAGCATGTAATGCTTGGTAATTGTTCAAATCAAAGGGCAAATGTAATATTTTCCTCTGATAACTTTCAGTTCTGATTTAACTAGAAAGAGAACTAGTTTTAGAGTAAGGGTACCTCTAGAAACAGAAGTAGATTTGGTAAGCTGTAAGCCTTCCATTTAAAATGCAATTAATGAGATTATCATAAGCTAGTCTTTTAAAAAGCAGATGTATTATACTATCAGTGTACATGTTTGAACTACATGGATTTAGCATAACAAGACAAGCCATATCCAACATATACTGTTTAATGAAAGATATATTTCAGTTTTCAGGCAGCTGTTCTGTTGCAACAGAAAATTTAGAGGTGAGAGACTTACAGGTCATGGCAGAATCTGAATGTGATGACACTGGACAGCTGGACTTTGACCTGTGAAAACAACCACAAAGTAAGCAATAGAAAAACAGAGAATTCAAATTCTTATGTGATTTTTTTAAAGAGTCAAACACACAGGATTTCTTATTAAATTATTTTCAAATTTCTTCTATATCCCTAATCTAAATGGAGCATTAGTAGGAAGGACCTGCCCCATGTACAGATAGCCCTGAAATACTTCAGTGCCTTAGATCTGACATGCTCTGCTAGGATTCTGCACAACTGTATCACAGGGATACTTCCAATCTTGAAATGCTCTTTAGAAATGCTAATCAAAACAAAGGAATTATTATTGAGATGCAGTTTCAAGGGAGATGGTAATAAACCCAGAATCTCATTTAGCCTGTAGATCAAAAAACCTACAGATTTACTCTAAAATACACAATGAGAGATGTCCTTTTTTATACTTGAAGTAACAAGGCTATGTTTTTTAGTATTAAGAGTGGAAATAATAATTTCCTCAAATCATATGTATGGTATTTAAATCAAAATATGTTATTATTGTGCAATCTCTGGCAGTCAGTAGATTATTAGAATATTAACCATGAAGAAACCACTGAGAAAAACAAACATGCAAATCAAAGCTCAGATACAAGTCTTGATTATCACAGATATTTCCAGAATGTTAAAAACTGTAACTTCACCTTTTATAATGGTTAGTAGGAAACATAGTAAGCAACAGTGCTTCCTGAATGCTATGACTTCCTTCATAGTTTAAGAAATAGTATTCATTTTAATCTTCTAAAATATGTTTTACTTTATTTAAATAATGATCATGTTAAAAAAGAAAATATCTACTTTTACTTGCTGCAATGGCAAACTGAGTTATATGGATAATGTGAAAAAGGAGTATCAGAATTAGTGAATGAAAGGAAAAGTGCACAAGAGAGGTAACACTTGATGCTTGCATGTTTATCAGCTGCTTTTTATTCAAAATTAATGAAATGTGTTTATTTTATACATTAAACAACTATGACAGAAATTATCACCACCAGCAGGCAGCCTGAAGGCTCTTCCCTAGAGTGAGAATACAAATGTGGGAGAGAAGAAAAATGGGAAGACAAAAAGTTTTGTGGAGATGGATATTGATCTTGGAAAATATCACTTTCCTTGAAAACAGAGGATAGCTCAGGAAACCTAGAAACTGACAAATCATTCATGAATTTACAAGGGGACCTACCAGTTTAAAAGGCCTGGGTTTGAACTCATCATTTTGTAACAGTGAAATTTTATTTACCTCACTGGAGTAATTTGATTTACACATGTCCGAAAGGAGAACTGACTTTTGTAATAGAAAGAAATGAGAAAATATGTTGGAGAACATGAATTCTACAGAAAAGAAGCAATAAAACTAATGAAAATGTTCCTATGAGTAAGTGAGGCACTGAATTCTACCAGTTCCAACAGATCCAATTTTATTCAGAAATTTGCAGAAGCTGGGGTTCAGGATTGCTTGGATAAAGAGACAAGAGTTAGGATTTGGTGCTCATGACTTGTTTGGCTTTTCCTACCCACTTGAAAGAAAAGAATTTGCAGGACTGAATATGTGAAAGCAGATAGGGGTGGGGGTGAGGCTGAGCCTCAGCCACACTGGGGCTGCCCTCACGAGGTGCCAGTGAGGAAAGGAACAACTGCAATGACAAGGGCTTTTCCAGAGCCCTGCTGGCTTTTTGCCACAGAGGGTAACAGCTGCTCTTAACTAACATTCAGTTTACAGCAAGTCTCTTTTATGACAATATATTTAGTGATTTTAGCAGTTCATAGCTCTGAAGGACCAGCACCTTTATAGCAAAACACTGGCATTTGTCAGCTTTTACTTTGCACAGAAAAAGAGAGAAGTGCAACAAAGTGACATAAGTGGTGATTTTATTAAACCAGTCACAGAAAGGAGGATCAACATATCATTCAGGGTGACATGTACAGATCAGAAGCACTTGAAGATGTAAGGACAAGTAATTTAGGCATTGAGTATAAAGAATGCTGATACTTCTAGGGAGAAAGGAAAAAATACAGTTGATAAATAGTAATGTATTACAATAACAAAGATGGAAAAATACTTGAGTGCCCTGCTTGCATATTTTTAGAAGCTGCAATAGTCTACTAATGAACACACTTTCAAAACAATAGTCAAAATATTACACTAGGAGAAACTAAACCCATCCAATATCAAGTAACTAGATGTTTCCACCTGGAACAGTGGAATTAGTCCTTGGCCATCTTAAGATTCACAGATTCTTTTATAGAACTGAGAATGGCAAAGGGCAGCAGAAGGATTTGCTGAGTTTTCACTGCTCACAAAGATTAAAGAAAAATTTCTTCAGTCTCTGGAGAAAAGAACAGTATATCTCATTTCTTTGAAAGGAACAGAGAGATGACAGCTTCAATGCTATCTGAACAGTGTAAAATACCAGAGCAAGGGAGCATGAACCTGAGCTAAGAACTGGACATTAGAGGAATGGAGGTGGAATTCCTTAACACCAAAAGTTAGATAACAAGTGCAAAAAGATAGCAAAAGCAGCAGCCAGAAGAAATCAAATCATTTCACAAGTAAATTAAATAACACCTGAAAAAGGAAGCTCAACACAGTCTCATATCAAAAGGAAGATCAGAATTTATGCCTGTTGGCTTCCTTACACTGGAGCACTTCTGTCATCCTCATCAATTAACATCATTAATAATAAATTGGTATTGTTAACATTCACCTCTTTTCTGAAATTGCTGCTCCTTGCATTAACTGAATTTATATGAAAGTTTCACACTGGTATTTTTACAAGAGATACAAAATCAAGTGCGGGCCCCTTGGGATGGCTAAAGGAATAAGCAGGATTGTAATTGTGGAGTCCTGATCAGATTTTAATTCTTAGCACACCATCACCATGCATTTTATCTTCCTAATCCACTCATACAATTGAAATTTAATTATTACATTTTTTCCTAATACACCTCAATTGCTGGGTCCTATTTGACTGTTGCTGAGATTCATTAGTGGGGTCTGTATAACTCCACTGGATAAACAGACTCCAATATTGTTCTAATTAACTTACAACTCTTAAAGCTCTCACTCTTCAGAATTGAGAAATGCTATTAATACAAAAGGTTCTCCACAGCAGTGGCAAACATTTTGTGAAGGAGACTAACTACAAACAGCCATGTCAAAAAATATATCCTAAGGCTTATTATTAATGTATCAGCTAGCATAAATCACTGTAGCTTCACTGACCTCAATGTAGCCACGGTGAATTTATAGAGAGAATACAGCTACGTAAGCTACATCTCCTTTTATCACTGTACAATGGAAAAATACATTGCAAAAGGAGAGGATATGGCATTAACATAATATTTGAGGAACATTGCAGCTCACAGAATTAGTTGAAAAGAATTCCATTAAAAAGCTACTACTAGTCTCACCTTCCATTTATTACAAGTGCTTTGAACTTTAGGTTTCTAATTAAATAATTTTTCTGACTCCATTGACACACTCAATGCTTTTATCTCTAGTTCAGAAACTGTTCAGTCCCAGATTATTTACTTTGACAAGTAACATTTTAGAATGCATGGTTATTTTTTGCTTTACTTGTTTGTTCTGGAGTGTTTATTAAGTGGGGTGTTTGTTTGGTTGGTTGGTTTTGTTTACTGGGCACTGCAAAACTAATGCCCAGTTTTACAGTGCAAGCCCAGATGGTTTAACAGGACCAAACTCTAAATTCACATTGGAGTGAAAAATGCCTGTAAAACAATGTGAATTTTAAAATAATGCAGATTGGATTCACAGTACAGTAAAATCATAACATAGTCCAAAATATGAAACAGGACCAGGATTCCAGTAAAATAACATGTGAGGACCTTTTGTCTGCTGGCTGTTATCACATCCGGAGATGATGTTTTGTACAAGATTTTTTAGAAGAAACTTCAATAGGGGTTTGATATATGGAACAATAGCAGGATATGGCCTCTAAATGGTAGGAACAATTGTGGCTCTCAGACATGTGCAAGTTAACTTTCATTAGCTTTGTTAGATTTTGTGCACACTTTCTGGCCTAGATTCAAGGCTGCATCTAATTTCTCCTGGGGACAGCTGAGACACTGACTGTAAGTGAAGAACAGAAACTATTCTGTCTAAGCAGAATATACTGAGGGAAACTCACATGAGCCTCAAGAGTGTGATAGACCAGTTTGGGAATAATGTGAGAAAGCAATGCAAGCAAACCCACTTTCTTTCCAGCTACACCCTTGATACCTTGTAGGCTGCAGAGCAAGGCAAGAGTTGCCTAGGCTGGCTCTACAATGGGTGGAAACTCCTCAGACCAAAGGAATTTTTAGCATGTAAATCTTCCAGTTTTATGGCAGGCCCATCCGAAAAACCTCATTAGGATGGGAAGATAGAAAGACAGAATTTAACCTTTGAATTTTGCAAGATGTATATAGAGACTTTTCTCTAGAATAGGAACTAAAAAATCCATAGACATGCTAGCTGTTTACAGAGTTCAAATTTTGAAGGGATTTTATTTTTACAGAATTATTTGTAGTATACTATTTCCTTAAGTTCTCAGAAAGTGGAATATTCTGTATTTTGAAAAGAGGACTTTGTGTTTCCCTTTCCTTCATTGCCTGGCTCTGACTTTTCTACAGTTCCAAGCACAAATTAATTTCCTTCCCATCAAGGCCCTTTATCTTTCATCAACTGGTTTTCTTCACCTATTATTTAAAATTCAAATATTTCTGTGATTTCTGACAGTTTCCCCATAAATATGTTAAATGCTACTTTAGGCTGCATTTTCTAATTTTTCACCAGCACTGTCTCAGCTGCCCAAAGCCATTAATTCTCAATTTTGTGTAGCCATTCCAAGAGGCCAACACAGATTTTTGTGCAGTCCTCTGATAAACCAGACTGAAGAATTGATTTGGCTGAAAAATAATTGATGGAAAAGAGTGTTTTTAAACTCGATCTTCTGCCTCACATCTGCACAAACAGCTGCATGAACACATCAGAATGGGTGGGGAAGGAAAGAGAACAATTAGCTGAGGTAGAACTGCTTAAACCAACATTACTACTCCAGCAGAAGTGCACATGGAGCCAAACAGCCTAAATGTGCTATTTTAAGTACCCTTTTAAATCCCTCACCTGTTCCAGTGTCTATTAAAAGAATTGATACTAATAAGGCAAGGATTATATCACTCCTGCTTACTGCTGGAGCCAAATTTTGGCTCATTGTTTCCTTGTTCTGGTTGATTTGTCTTCTAATTAGATTGTAGGAAACATAATGGGGAAACATAAATGATCTTTTGGCCAACTTAACAACAATCTGACTTCTACTACAGTCAGTGCAAATTTTATCTTGGATTCAAAAGGAATTAGATTCTGTCTGTCAGGATATAATTTCCCTCAGATACTAATCATTCTGATTATTTTGTTTAAGAAGGCCAATCCTTCAGAGCAGGGTAAGATCACTGAGAAATATATTTCTGCAAATAATTCTGTGTTTACTATAATAATTTACAGCTCTTTTCAAGCTGTGCTTTTAAACTAAAACATTAATTTTAACCTGTTACTTGTAATAAGTGACTTTTCTGAAAGCACTGTGGCTTTAGAACATGAGTTGAGCAATAGTACTAAACAGCTGAAGTCATAAAGGAGACGTACATCACTCCTAAATTGCATTGGCCTAATTGCACAAGCATTCTGATTCTGTTGGTACTGCTAAAGAGTTTGTTTTTCATCCAGAGTTCACTTGGGATATTTGACTGCATGAGGCACAGCACTGGCATCAACCAACAGGAAAGGATCTGCTAAAAGCAGAGTATAGAAGTACATTCAGCGTTTCTTGTAGTAAGAAATATAAAAGTCTTTGATACTTATAAAGGACCAATGAAACACATGTTGCTATTAACCAAAGCCATATAATCCAAAGAATAAATGTTTCAAATAGAAATGGAAAATTTTCATTGAGCTATGAAGAACATTTTGTGAGGCTAGAGTTCTCTCTACTTCAAGATATTTGATAATACAATTCTGTCTTCCTGATTCCACTAGTTTCCACAGTTCTGTTTGTATATTTGTTGCTGTCTTTATCTAGAGATTTGGTATGCATTACATGCACTGAGATACAATAGGAGCACAACTATAGGCAAATACAACAGAGAACATCAGCAGAAATGGAAAAAGGAAGTTTTTTCTAATGATTAAGTAATATACTTAGTTTACCCTTTCATTCAGAGACCATTTGCAATACAATATTTAATCAAAAAGTTATCACTATTCATTATCACTAGTCATGATATAAGGATATCAGTCCTAGCTCTGAGCCTTACAATGAATCTTCCAAATATCTGTCCCAGTGGGTTGAACAACTAATCTTTCTGTATGGACTGTAAGCTTTTGCAATTACTGAATATTTTTATAAATATTGGTGTTAAATAACATACGATGTTAGACAAAAAGAGAAAAAGAATTCCAATACCTGGAAAAACTATTTTCCCAAAAGCAACAGAAGGTGTCACTGCTAACTGATTTTAAACAAATGAATCCCTCAGCAGAAAACACTGTCTTTGTTTTGAAAGAAACTTGAACATTGTTTGGGAAGGTAATTGGGTTCCCTTCTCAAGTATTCGCCAGCTCCAAACATAAACATTACATTTAAAAATGGAAAAGACTGCTTCTCACCATCTAATTCTCCTTTCTGTTTCCTACTATTCCCTGCAGCTGTTTCACTTCAGGCTATGATTCACAGTCAAAGCAAGAGGAATTTAGCCAGTATTTGGATAGAAACCTCCAAAGGGCCTTTTAACCCATTAGTGTAGGAGATATACTAACTGGGGATTTTCTCTTCAAATACATAATTTAAGATGCTGCCAAAATTAACATGAGGATGCTGGAGAAACCATTCCCATCAAGAAATGTAAAACTGAGTCTCCAAGTAGTTTGAGACAGAAATATTTCTGTATTCTGCATTTCACCTTGTGTAACGGCTACGGCTGTCTCTCTAAACTTGTGATATTATTTTAACTCTGTGTGGCAGTCCTCACCCCCTTGTCTTCCTCCATACTGTAGTGTTGCTATTCTATGTTAAACAGCTGTTATAGCCCATGCCAGAGATGGCTGCATAACAGTGACGGGTGAGGTGTTATTTTCTAAATATACTTAGAGATTTTGAAGTACTTTATGGCTGTTTGCAAGTCTCTCCATCCATTCAGATATATCTATATGTGAGGCTAACGTAAAACAGTAATATAAAACACATTTCCTCTCCTTAATAAGCTTAATTTTTGGTTTCTGGAGAACAGCAGGAACTCACATCCTTTTTCCTCTGGACTTCCCTTCCCTAGAGGTCCCTCCCGGGCTGCCCGCACCCAGCGCCGTGGTCTCACCGGGTCATGGCTGCTGGCTCTGCAGCTGCGGGCCTATGCTTCGAGCTGCTATTTACTCGTTGTGAAGCAATTGCTAAAGCTGTAATTAAAAAAATATATATATTTTATATTATATAGATACACATATAAAGCCCGTGGCTTTTAGCCATCACGGTTGCATACTTAATAGCTGCATCCAAGCACTCTCTCCAGGCTCCCAGCCTGGCGGCTCCAACACAGCCCTCCCCTTCTCTTCCCCAGAGAAAGGCATTTCAGGTCACTTGAATTATTTAGCGGGGTGTTTTTAACCATCTCAAGGGCTTTGCTCCTGCCGTGCGGCGCCTGCAGAGCTCGGGTTTGTGGGTTTATTTTATTTTTTTACTTCTTTTTTTTAGCACGCGAGGTGGAGTTGCTCCACTTCCCTGGCAGAAGGAGGAGATAAAGCGCGAGGGGAAGGCGAGGGGGGCGGCTTGGCGTGTGGAGGGGAGGGGAAAGGCCGCCACACCTGCGGGCCGCGCTGCCCCCTCAGGCCCGGCCCTGGCCGCCGGGGCCGCTCACCGGGTCGCTCTAACGCAGCTCTCTCTGTCTCTTCTTCCCCACCTCCCCCGCCGATTCTCCTTTCCCTCCCGCTCCTCATTCATCCTCCCCTCTCCCGCCCCCTCCCCGTGCAGGCGAAGCGGGCGCGGCAGGAGGCGGAGCGGGCCGCCGCACGTCCCCCGGCCGGCCGGCCGGCCCCCCCGCCATGGGTCGGAAGCGCTGCGTGGGGGGAGACGGCTCCAAGATGGCGGCGGGTTGCTGCGGGGTGAAGAAGCAGAAACTCTCCAGCTCCCCTCCCTCGGGCTCGGCCGGCCCGGGTGGCGGCGGCGGCGGTTCCCACTGCGGCGGGGCGGCGGCGGTGGGGGGCGAGCCGGGGGCGCTGCCCCCGCCCGGAGGCCCCCGCCTGAACG